GACGGCGGACATAGGTGCACGGCGGAAGAGTGCCCGGGCGACCTCCACGGCTCACAGTACCACCAGCCCCAGCAGGACCTCCAGGAGTGGCACTACCACCTCCACCACCACGGCCACCTCGACCACCACCACCACCGCCCCGACCGCCACCGCCACCGCCGCCCCCCCACGACCTCCACCGCCGCTGTTGCGACCACCCTGGTTGCGCGGCTGCGTGGTATTGAGGGAGGTGGAGGAGGAGGACTGTGGGGTGGTGAGGTTGACAATGGGGGTGCGGAGCTTGACCTCTGTGTCAATGATCCACTGGACCACGTCGTTGAGGCCAGCCATGGAGTTTGCCTCAGTGAAGGCATGGAGGCGGGACTCGTAGTCCGGAGTGAGGTTGTAGAGGAGGCGATGGATTTGGAGTGGTTCGGGGAGGGCAGCTTGGCGTGCCGCAAGGCGATCAGCGACCTCCTGCATGCGCCCCACATAGTCAACTGCGCCGTCACACGTAGCGAGGGTGATGGAGAAGTACTCCTGGAAAAGGACGCCGACCGAGCTGATGTCGCGACGCTCAAACATCGCCTGGAGCTCGGCCCAAATGAGGGAGGCGCGCATCTCGCGAGCTTGAAAACGGCGCATGAGAGCGTCGGGGAGTGCGCCGAGGAGGATGGTGCAGGCGCGGTTGTCAGCGGTGGCCCATGCGATGCTCTTGGGGAGGTAGTCCGCCATGGACGTGTTATACTCATCAAGTAACGCCAGGCGAGTGGCACGTTCCGCTGTTGCAAAGTCGTGATGATGCACCGCAACTTCATGCTCCGCCTTGCGGATGAGGTACTCGCGGCGTTCGTGGAGGAAGGTGGCATCAGCGGCCTCCTGGAGCTCTGGAGAAGCGGTGATCACCAAGGTAGGTTCAGGAGGAGGAGGGCCAGGGGGAATGGAGGGAGGAGGAGGTTCACCGGGGTGAATGGGTGCCATGGGCTGAAGAGCGTGCGGGCGGCGGAGGAGGACGTCGAGGACGCAGTAGGGTCCGATGAAGGCGTCCTGGAGGATACGGCGGATGCTCCCGACGAAGGAGTGCCAATTGACAGCCGAGCGGTCCGCGGCAAGCTGGAGTTTGTCGACGGAAGAGGCGTCGATGGGAGGAGGGAGGGGGGCAGGAGGGTTGGTAGCCATGAGGGGCGACGGCGGGTGGACCCGCGGCGGCCACGAGGGGGGACGGCGGCGGGTGGACCTGCGGCGGTCAGGGGAGAGGGCGACGGCGGGTGGACCCGCGGCGGCCGAGGGGGAGGGGGGAGGGCGGGAGGTGCTGCAGCTGAGGCAGATACACTCCTCCGGCTGCTGCTGCTGCTGCTGCCACTGCCGCTGCCGCTGCTGCTGCTGCCGCCGCTGCTGCCGATGCTACCGCTGCTGCCGGTGCTGCCGCTGCTGCCGATGCTGCCACTGCTGCCGCTGCTGCCGTTGCTGCCGCTGCTGCCGCTGCTGCCAATGCTGCCACTGCTGCCGCTGCTGCCGCTGCTGCCGCTGATGCCGCTGCTGCCGATGCTGCCACTGCTGCCGCTGCTGCCGCTGCTGCCGCTGCTGCCGCTGCTGCCGATGCTGCCGATGCTGCCACTGTTGCCGCTGCCGCCGCTGCTGCTGATGCCTCCGCTGCTGCCGCTGCTGCCGATGCCGCCGCTGCTGCCGATGCTGCCGCTGCTGTTGTCGTTGCTGATGGTGCGCCTGCTGAGCTGTCCCGGCTGCTGCTGCGTGGGGAGAGGAGAGAGAGGAGGAGGAAAGGGGGAGGGAGGGGAGAGGAAAGCAGTTGCAGCTGTGGGTGGGGCTGTTGCTGCCACGGTCGCGGCTGCTGCTGTAGAAGCGGCGGTCGCGGCGGCAAAGTGCGCAGGGGGCGGTGTGGGCAGGCGGGGACAAGGAGGCTCCGCGGCAGGAAGCGCGGGCGACGACGGTGTGGTCGCGGCGGCGGAGATGCGGGCGGCTGGCGGTGCAGTCGTGGCGGCGGAAATTGCGGGAGCGGCGGCGGGGGGAGGCGACGATGCGAAATCGCGGCGGTGGGACGGGCAGGGGGGCGACGAGCAGGTCGCGGCGGCGAGATGCGGAGGCGCGACTTGAAGTCGCGGCGGCGGGACGTGCAGGCGGCGGCTTTAGGTCGCGGGGGAGGGGCGTGCAGGCGGCGACGTGAAGTCGCGGCGGAGGGGCGTGCAGGCGGCGACGCTAGGTCGCGGCGCGGGACGTGCAGGCGGCGACAGAAGGTCGCGGCGGCGGGGGCGTGCAGGCGGCGACGCGAAGTCGCGGCTGCGGGGTGTGCAGGCGGCGACGCGAAGTCGCGGCGGCGGGGGGGTGCAGGCGGCGACGCGAAGTCGCGGCTGCGGGGCGTGCAGGCCGCGACGCGAAGTCGCGGCGGCCGGACAGGCAGGCGGCGACGAAGCGTCGCGGCGGCGGGAAGGGGAGGCGACGACGGGGCGTCGCGGCGGAGGATGGGCCGGTGGCGCCGAAGTAGGCGCGGCGGCGGGATGCGCAGGCGGCGCCGGAGGAGGCGCGGCGGCGGAAAGGGGGAGGCGGCGACGGGGGGTCGCGGCGACGGGAGGAGGGGGGGGATGCGGTGATGCGCTCGCGGCGGTGGGATCCGCAGGCTAGGAGGGCGCAATCTCGGCGGGGGGAGGGAACGGCGGCGACGGTGTAGGTCGCGGGGAGCGTATGCTAGGTTGAGCCACGCGTAGGAGGGGATATGTGGCTGTGGGGTGGGCCCATGTAAAAAAAAAACTGGAGGGAGGGAGAGGTAAGGCTTAGGAACAAGTAGCTCTATACCATGTGAAGATTGTGAATTGAACAAGTTACTTCATTAGGGGAGAAACGTAGCATGCATAGTTGGAAGAGAAGGTTGGAAGAGAAGGGTGAAGGTGACCAAAGGTTGGGTTGGCCTCACTTGGGGGAGTGAGGCCACCATAGGTCAAGTGGGTTGGGTTGCCCACACTTTGTAGAAGTGAGGCAACCCTAGGCCCACTTGGCTTGAGGTGACCTCACTTGTGGAAGTGAGGCACCCACAAGTCAAGTGGGTTGCATTTGGGGGCTCCACCACAATTGGGTGGATTGGCACCCCAAAGTGCAAGACTACACCCAAAGTTGGGTGTAGTCCCAACCCAACTGTACACCACAATTGGTGTACAGTCACATGTGTTGGCATGCTACACAATATATATTTTAACAGGGCGGTCCTCACCCCAACCAGAACCGCCAGCAGCAGCAGCAGAGGGCAGACGAGTCGAGCCGATCAGTCTGAAACCAGCTCGTGCCTTGTTCAACTCTCCTCACTGTGACTTCCCCTCTCCCTCTCCCTCTCCCCTCTCCCCCCAAGCAGGACGGTCCTCATCCCAACCAGAACCGCCAGCAGCAGCAGCAGAGGGCAGACGAGTCGAGCCGATCAGTCTGAAACCAGCTCGTGCCTTGTTCAACTCTCCTCACTGTGACTTCCCCTCTCCCTCTCCCTCTCCCCTCTCCCCTCAAGCAGGACGGTCCTCACCCCAACCAGAACCGCCAGCAGCAGCAGCAGAGGGAAGACGAGTCGAGCCGATCAGTCTGAAACCAGCTCGTGCCTTGTTCAACTCTCCTCACTGTGACTTCCCCTCTCCCTCTCCCTCTCCCCTCTCCCCCCAAGCAGGACGGTCCTCACCCCAACCAGAACCGCCAGCAGCAGCAGCAGAGGGCAGACGAGTCGAGCCGATCAGTCTGAAACCAGCTCGTGCCTTGTTCAACTCTCCTCACTGTGACTTCCCCTCTCCCTCTCCCTCTCCCCTCTCCCCTCAAGCAGGACGGTCCTCACCCCAACCAGAACCGCCAGCAGCAGCAGCAGAGGGCAGACGAGTCGAGCCGATCAGTCTGAAACCAGCTCGTGCCTTGTTCAACTCTCCTCACTGTGACTTCCCCTCTCCCTCTCCCTCTCCCTTCTCCCCCCAAGCAGGACGGTCCTCACCCCAACCAGAACCGCCAGCAGCAGCAGCAGAGGGCAGACGAGTCGAGCCGATCAGTCTGAAACCAGCTCGTGCCTTGTTCAACTCTCCTCACTGTGACTTCCCCTCTCCCTCTCCCTCTCCCCTCTCCCCCCAAGCAGGACGGTCCTCACCCCAACCAGAACCGCCAGCAGCAGCAGCAGAGGGCAAACGAGTCGAGCCGATCAGTCTGAAACCAGCTCGTGCCTTGTTCAACTCTCCTCACTGTGACTTCCCCTCTCCCTCTCCCTCTCCCCTCTCCCCCCAAGCAGGACGGTCCTCACCCCAACCAGAACCGCCAGCAGCAGCAGCAGAGGGCAGACGAGTCGAGCCGATCAGTCTGAAACCAGCTCGTGCCTTGTTCAACTCTCCTCACTGTGACTTCCCCTCTCCCTCTCCCTCTCCCCTCTCCCCTCTCCCCTCGAGCAGGACGGTCCTCACCCCAACCAGAACCGCCAGCAGCAGCAGCAGAGGGCAGACGAGTCGAGCCGATCAGTCTGAAACCAGCTCGTGCCTTGTTCAACTCTCCTCACTGTGACTTCCCCTCTCCCTCTCCCTCTCCCCTCTCCCCTCAAGCAGGACGGTCCTCACCCCAACCAGAACCGCCAGCAGCAGCAGCAGAGGGCAGACGAGTCGAGCCGATCAGTCTGAAACCAGCTCGTGCCTTGTTCAACTCTCCTCACTGTGACTTCCCCTCTCCCTCTCCCTCTCCCCTCTCCCCCCAAGCAGGACGGTCCTCACCCCAACCAGAACCGCCAGCAGCAGCAGCAGCATCAGATGGAAGACGAGCCGAGCCGGTCGGTCCTGAACCAACTAGTGCTTCTTCAACCCTAGTGCCTCTCAATGATTGGGTATTGAGGCGTCTCAATGATCGTCTCCCCTTCGCCCCAAGCAGGACGGTCCTCATCCCAGCCACAACCGCCAGCAGCAGCAGCAGAGGGCAGATGAGCCGAGCCGGTCGGTCCTGAACCTACTAGTGCCCGCCTCTCAATCGGGCACTCTGTTATTGCCCCCCCATCCCCCCTCCCCAAGCAGGACGGTCCTCATCCCAACCAGAACCGCCAGCAGCAGCAGCAGCAGAGGGCAGACGAGTCGAGCCGATCCGTCTTAAACCTGCTAGTGCCGGCGTCACAGTCGGGCGCTCTGATTGGGAAGGGAGGCCGGGTGATCAAAGACATCCGCGAGTCCAGCGGGGCGTTTGTGCGCATCACAGATGGGCCCGCCTCTCCTTTTGCACTACCAGCAGATCGGCTCGTGCAGGTGAGCAAGGGGTGGGGTGAGGTGGGGTGGGGTGGAGTGGGGTGGGGTGGGGCAGGGGGATCAAAGACACAGGGGAGGCCGCGTGATCAAAGACATTCGCGAGTCCAGCGGCGCGTTTGTGCGCATTACAGATGGGCCTGCATCTCCGTTCGCCCTGCCAGCCAGCTGACAGGCTCGTGCAGGTGAGCAAGGGTTGGGGTGGGGTGGAGTGGAGTGCGGTTGGGGGGGGAGGGGGAGGAGGGTAAGGGGGATGAAGGGCATCCGCGAGTCCAGCAGGGCGTCTGTGCGCATTGCTGAGGGGCCCGCCTCTCCTTTTGCACTACCAGCAGGTCGGCTAGTACAGGTCTGCAAGGGTTGGCGTGGGGTGGGGTGGAGTGCGGTTGGAAGGGGGGGGGGGGGGAGGGGGGGAAGGGGGGGTGGGGGGTGGTAAGGGGGATGAAGGGCATCCGCGAGTCCAGTGGGGCGTTTGTGTGGATGCCCTTCATTTCCCTTACCACCCCATCCCCTGCATTGCTGAGGGGCCCGCGCCTTTCGCCCTGCCATGCCAACAGACAGGCCCGTGCAGTTGAGCACGGGGGGGGAGGGTAGGAGGGGGAGGATGTTGTGACTTAAACTGATAGCAGCAGGTGTCGTGGGTGGGGGGGCCAGGGCGATGAAGGGCATTCGCGAGTCCAGCAGGGCGTTTATGCGCATTGCAGAGGGGCGTGCCCCGTCGCCCTGCCGCTGCACCTTACCCCCACCCCACCCCACCCCACCCCATCCGGCCCCGCCCCACCCCACTCCACCGCATCAGGTCACTGCAACAGCCCCGAAGCTGGAGGCAGCACTCAAGGCGATTGCGAGCGTACTTAAGTGAGTTTCTCTTGTGCTACTTGTCAAGTCACGTGTTTGATTTGAAGTACTCAAAACATTTCTTCCAACGTACTCAAGTCAGTCTCGCTTATGCTATTTGTGAAGGCCTTGAAAGCAGACTTCTGATTTGACCCAATGGGTTTGCGAACGTGCTCAAGTGAGTTTCCCTTATGCTCCCTGTGAAGGCCTTGAAAGCAATGCCGAATGTGCTCATATAGCATTTCCAACGCTTGTCCTTACACATAGCATATCCTTGCATACGTTTACCTCCCTCCCTCCCGCCGCTGCAGCAGCAGTCCAACACTTATCCTGACATCGAATGTGTTTTTTGGCTATCTACCTACCTGCATTGCGACTGCCTCTCTGTCTCTCTGTCCCTCTCTGTCCATCCACAGGGCCAACCCACCACAGGAGCCGCTAGAGGAGATGGAAACAGCAGGGTCCGTGGCAGCAGCACGCTCCACCATCACCCCCTATGCTGCCGCCGCTGCAGCAGCAGCCGCACAGCAAGCAGCAGCACTGGCAGCTGGGACCGGTTTCCAGAGTCCTGGGGAGAGGAGAGGAGGAGGGGGGAGAAGTGGAGGTGCGAGGGGTGGAGGGGGATGGGAAGGTTCGGGAGCCGGGGGGTACCCAGGTTCGGGGATTGCAGGTTTGGGATCTGGTTTGGCAGGAGGTTATGGCTCGCCAGGAGGTCCGGTGGGAGGCTTGGGAATTCCGCCTGCGTATGGTTCGGCAGGAGGAACGGGGCTGTACGACGCTGGGCTGGGGTTGGGAGGGAGCGGGTTAGGCTCGGGAGCGCTAGGTTCGGGATACATGGTTGCAGGCTTGGGGGGGGGGTTGGGGATGAATTTGGGCAGTAGCTATGGGGGAGGAGGTTTGGGGGGAGGGGGAGGGGGAGGGGCAGCAGCAGCAGGAGGAGACCTGAGTTGGGGCCTGGGGATGGGGTACCAGGGTGGTGTGGGAGCGGGAGGAATGGGGGGGATTGGAGGAGGGTTGGGTGCGGTACTGGCCAGCTATCAAGGAGCAGGAGGAGCAGCAGCGGGAGCAGGAGGAGGGGGGATAGGGGGAATGGGGAGTGGTACTGCTGGTGGTGGCTCTCTGACTGGATTCTCTTCATCCCCGATGGGCCATACTTCCTTCTCTTCTGCTTCTGGTGCTGCTGGTTACATTGATGCGTCTGGTTACCACCCTCCGTCTGGCTACCCTACTTCGTCTGGTTACCAGCCTTCGCCTGGTGCTGGTTTTGATGATCCTTCAAGTGAGTTTCCCTGCCCCTGCCAGTGCCACTGCCACTGCCACTGCCACTGCCACTGCCACTGCCGCTGCCGCTGCCACTGCCGCTGCCGCTGCCACTGCCGCTGCCGCTGTCCCTGTTTTTTTGCCATCTCCGTTTTCACATTACTGAGGACAGCACGAGTTCATTAATAATTCCCACATATCAGGTCATCTCCCCTCGTTCACTCCGTACAGAGCGCAAGAGGGTGCAGGATTATCCCTCCCACTGCCCCGTTGCCGTCTCCGTTCTCGCAATTCTGAATAAGCCACCATTCCTGCCCGTCCTTTAAACCCCCCCCCCATTCCGCGTCCTTCATTCACTCCAACCAGAGCGTAGGAGGGTGTTGAATCGTCCCAGCGAGTACCATTTGCCATCACCGTTCTCACACTACTGAGGACAGCACGAGCTCATTAGAATTTCCACCTTTCATGTCCCTTCATTCACTCCATACAGAGCGCAGGAGGGTGCAGGATCGTCCCTTTGTCAAAACGGAGGCATCCGAGCCTGATGGTCACGGCCAGGGCCAGGGGCAGGCTCGGATTGAGCTTCGGTTGCCGGGGCAAGCGATAGGATCGGTGCTGGGGAAGGGTGGGAACACGATCAAGAACATTCGGCAGATGTCCGGTGCCAACATCAAGGTGAGGCTGTGAAACTCTGTTTCTTTGCATAAAAGTAGAGGAATGGAAAGCGGTTGTTGGGAATGGAGTTGGGGAACGGGGTTGGGGAACGGGGTTTGGGAACGGGGTTGGGGAACGGGGTTGGGGAACGGGGTTGGGGAACGGGGTTGGGGAACGGGGTTGGGGAACGGGGTTGGGGAACGGGGTTGGGGAACGGGGTTGGGGAACGGGGTTGGGGAACGGGGTTGGGGAACGGGGTTGGGGAACGGGGTTGGGGAACGGGGTTGGGGAACGGGGTTGGGGAACGGGGTTGGGGAACGGGGTTGGGGAACGGGGTTGGGGAACGGGGTTGGGGAACGGGGTTGGGGAACGGGGTTGGGGAACGGGGTTGGGAAACGGGGGAGGCCAGCTACACAACTGATCAAGAGCATTCGGCAGATGTCTGGTGCTATCATCAAGGTGAGGCTGTGAGTGTGTGTGTCTTTGCATGCATGTTCAGGAAGGGGAAGTGGAGTGGGAAAGGGGTTATGGAAGTGGGGGAGGGGAGATTCACTACCTACCGAGAACATTCGGCAGATTACTGTGTCAGATGTAACGGACATATCTTTTCTTTTTTTTTACTAAAATTACGCACGGAAAAAAAAAGTCTTTTTCAGACTTTGGCTAAGCCTTGTTTGTGTGTTTGTTTTGTTTTTCTTTCTTTCTTTCTTTCTTTCTTCTTTCTTTCTTTCTTTCTTTCTTTCTTTCTTTCTTTCTTTCTTTCTCTTCTTTCGTTCGTCCTATCGTTCTTTCTGTTCGTTCTGCACAATGGCAGATCCAGCCCTCGGAAGAAGGAACCACGGACAGGATTGTGGAGATTTCTGGCAACCCAACTCAGGTAGGGTGAAAGTACAGTATCTCTTGTGAAACTTTTCAAATCTACATGTGCTGCCTACCTGCCACTCTGGTGACCTTGCTGTCACACGCTTGTTTCAGGACCCTTCTTTTTCCCTTTCCTGGACCTCGTTCGTGGCCCGTTTAAATCCGGGTCTTGCTACTCTCTGTTTTTTACCTGTTGCTTTCCATTCCTCTCCAGTCACCTCCACTCCTCCCCAGTTCTCAGTTCTCCACTCTTCCCCATTTCTCTCCACTCCTCCCCATTTGTCTCTAGTCCTCAACCTTTCCTCTCCATTCCCTTCCACTCTTCGATGTGCTGATGCCCTCAAAATCCCCGTTAGTGCCTTGTGCCTTAGCTTTCCATGTTCCAAGTAGTATCGTGTTCAGATGGTTATGCCCCTGTATGTCATTCTCTATGCACCCACATCCATTCTCCACCAATTCTCTGTGCCAGGTGTCGAGTGCAGAGGCTCTCATCAAGGCATGCGCAGCTGCAAGATGATGATGTGGCGTGGCATGATTGGTTAGATGTGAGGCGGTTTGATTATCTATGCATCCGCCATCCATTCTCCACGCTTCTCTGTGCCAGGTGTCGAGTGCAGAGGCTCTGATCAAGGCTTGTGCAGCTGCAAGATGATGTGGCATGATGTGATTGGTTGGGTACGAACCGGAAGGTTACATGTAGCAGTAAAGTACATGGACTAATGGGTGCTGTGGTAGTTACTGTCCTGGTACATGTAGCAGTAAAGTACATGGACTAATGGGTGCTGTGGTAGTTACTGTCCTGGTTCTATGACCTACTCGTTAAAACGTATTTTACAACTGATTATTGTTCTAGTGCTTCTCCGATAGCTTGTGGGAAGCAGCTGTGAATGAACGTTGGTTCGGCAAAATTTGAGTACCAATTGTTACCATATCACATCAGACTGTGAACCAGCAGTGACAAAACGTGATTGCAGCAAACCATCCAGAGGTTAGAACTATCCTTCCACCAAGGCAGAACAGAAACTGCTCTTTATACAAATTTGTACCGTACAAAGGAGAAGAATGGAAAGAACGAAAGAACAGGAACTGTACAAAGGGAAGGAGAAACAGCACATGCAAGTGAATGGCAGCCAATGAGCTTCAAGCAGCCCCAGACATCTCTCTGACCCATGCCTCATTGCATTGGGAGGCAAATTCATCTCCATCTTCTAAAAAACAGCAGCCAGCACATTCCCTAGCCAGCCAGACCAACTTGGCAGGCAAATTCATCTTCACGTTTGCCTTAGGCTGAACCAATTCCTCCTTCCCCTTCCAGAGCCTTGGCCTCAGACTCCCGCCCCATGAACCCCTCTTCACCGGTCTCAACCCCTCCCGTCTCCCCTCCAGCAGCAGCAGCACCAGCCTCCTTCGCCTGAGCAATATCACCCCCTGAAGTGACATCACCCCCAGCAGTCACATCACTCCCAGCAGTTCTCCCCATACCCCCCTCACGGGCACCACCAGTTGAAAGCTTCTTCTCCCCACCAGCAGGTTCAGCACTCCCCCTTGCGCCAATGCTCTCTCCCCTCACATCTCCGCCCATCATCTCAGTATCCCCTCCCCCCGTTGCGCCCATCCCTCCCCCCATCCCTCCCGCTTCCCCCCCAGCCATTCCCCCTCCCCCCATCCCAGTGGTCCCCAGGCTCTCCCCGCCCATCCCAGCCTCCATTCCACTCATATCCGTCCCTTTCCCCATCTCCCCCATCCCACCTCCTGCTGCCGGCACACCAGTGGCAGTCCCGCCACCCATAGCACCACCAACCCCCATTGCGGGCACGCCGGTTGCAGTCACGCCCGTTTCAGTCACACCAGGGCCAGTCACACCCATGGGCTGCATGGTAGTGGAGTAGTAAATCGTCCTCCCCTCGGTATCAGTCACAGCAGCCACTCCCGTCACGCCTCCCCCTGCAGTGGGGAATTCCTGAGCCGTGCAGGTGAAGCCAGGGCCTGTTGCCGTTGCCACATAACCACCGCCGGCGTAACCGGGTGCAGAGACGGCTGTCCCGCCTGCTGCTGCGTAGCCGGGAGTGCCAGTTGCTGTTGCCTGCGTGGGCTCCGTTGAAAATTGCTCCTGCTGAAGGGAGAGCAGAAAGGGAAGGTATGGCAGAAATCGGTTAGAGACAGCGGGGGGAAGGGGTATGGTAAGTATCGATATGGACGCGTGTTGAGGGGGGACGTAAAAGAAGGCTGAGAAGCGTTTGTTTAGGCGGTGAAGGGACGTCTAGACTAGCGTACCTTGGCCTGCCCCTGCATCTCCTCCCGCCTTGGCTGCTCCTGAGACATGTTGGCTCGAACGTGGATACGAAGTCAGAAGATTCTTGCGTAGAAATTCAGGGAGAGCAGAAAACTAGGAAGAGTCGCGAAGCGAGAAGATGGTGATTTGGCTGGAAGAACGTCGACCCAATCTGATCGACAGATCAGGAACGACTTGAATTTACAGTACCCCACGGGCTGATGGACCGCGGCTCGTTCTTGGAAACAAAATCACACACATTCCCTCCTGCGTGAAGATCGGCGAGATGCGCAATTCAAAGGCGGCGCGGAAATTCGCGAAAAGGCGACGCGGAGGTTGATGGATGGGATGAATGATGGATGGAGATGGGTGGTACGTTCCGGTGGGACGTGCTACTGGCTGCAATTGCTGCAACTGGCTGCTCGTGCACGCCATGCGCGAGAAGGGCCAGTTTGGCGCTACCACGTGTCGGCAAATCTTTCCTCGTAGAGCCATGATGGTCGTGAAACAGGGGTACGGTAACCTAGGGAGGTGACAGGCTGACAGGCGCATAGTACTTGAAAAGGTGAACTAGAGAGGCAACTGGGAAAAGAGAAGCTCCATCAAGAAAGGGTTCGTCTTTGATGTTTGGCGTTTGAACAATGAAGCATTCCACAAGGAACACAATAAGTTTACACACATGGAATAGTACATACATACCGGTACGGTACAGAAACATTTCATGACATGAAATATGGTGTATCAAATAGGCTAGCAGAAGGGCTGTGACTGGGTCCTCCAAATTCGCTTCCACAAATGATTTCATCTGCCTCAGCTCTATCGCCCTTCCAATTCGAGTCAGCACTCTCAAAGGGGTTGCCTCTTTTCCCAGCAGCACTGTCAAAAAGGCCACATCCGGATGGACTGCTATTGTGTGTCTGAAGATCTACATCAATGTCTGTGGCTGAAGGGCTGCACTTCCAGAAGGGAGCTAAAGAAGCTGCCGTTGGGGGAAATGGTTCTGGAGACAGGGGGCTTGAGAGAAAAAGTTCTGGAGACAGAGCTGTTGTTGCTGCGAAAGTTCTGCTTCCAGCAAGCACTTCTTCAAGTGAATCTCCATCAAAACAGCCTCTTGCTTCAAAGCCCTCAGCAAACATTGGTGTCCCACACTCAGACAAACTCTCCCCTCCAAGGAATGCATCAGCACCAAGGGAGCTTTCTGCTTCAGGAATGCTTCGGACACTGCCAAACATGACTTCAGAGACATCCCGGTGTGCCTCTTCAGATCCAAAGAGCCAGTCATGTACCCCGAAATCCTCCATGTCTACATTCACGAGGGGGACCGTAGGTCTCGGTTGTTCATGCCAAAAGGCTTGTTCTGGGCTTGAAGTCACATCCCTATTAACCTACAACCACCAATATCTATCAGTCAAGATCCTGCAAAACATTTACATGACCAGCCTCACCTTTCCGCCTGATGGAAGCATCGCAATGAGTTCTGGAGACGGTGCGATATTAAGCTTGCTCAAGAGCTCATCAGCTGCTGTTTTACTGCAACAAAATCATGCTCAATGAGCAAATAGCAGAAACTCAATTTGGATAAATAAGCGCTGACATACCTTTCACCCTTTTGAACTGAGATGGCGTCCAGATCCATGACTCCTTTCACAACGGCCTTCAAACTCTCTTTGATCGGGAAAAAGGAGAAAGACTTGGAGTCGCGAGGGTGACCTGAAAACAGATGGAAGCTGTGCCATCATTATGTGCTCGGTGGTTTCGAACCAAGCCACCTGCGATCATCTAAGGACATACCCAGCAGTATCGCGTCTTCCTCTGCATCTCCAGATTCGACCGCAGCAGGTGTTTTTGGTTTCTCACAACCGAAGTGCCAGTCCCACTCGTCCTCCTCTTTTGGACCTTTGGCATGAAGCTCAGTTAAAAATAACAAACAATGTAAACAGACAGCAGAAAACAAAAAAGAAGCTTACGCTGCTTCTCAGTACAACGAAGTTTGGAGCTGGGAGGAGCAGTGCGGTTCTTCATGGTGATGACGACTTCTGTATGTCACACAGAATACGGTCAGAAAGATCAGATGCAGGAGGATACAGATAAGAAGAAGGTAGCTTACGAGGTGTAATACACTGGTTCTGTCTCGAATGCACCCTGCATCACATTACATCATTAGTATTACGAGTGTATCTGAGATTGATCAGAAGCGCGGCCTCCTAACCTATTTTCGTTCTGGTTGTTCTCGCGCCTGACGTCCAATGAAGAACATCCCTCGCGCGACGTATCTATACAACAGTCAATAAGAGAAGAGAAGCCTCCATCGCAACTGCTGGTAAAATATGTGCATTGATTGATTATCCCACACCTGCTGGCTTTGGCATTCGCAATGGTGTGTGCTTCTCCAAGCTACGCTTCTGAAATCGGAACGTGGTGCCTTGTTCAACTGTCTTGTTCGCATCATCCACATTGTACGACGGCTTGACTACTCCAGTGACATGCCGCGAGGTGATAAAGCTCCGTATGGGCCCTTGACGAGGAAGCGGCAATTTCTGCTCACATTGGAAAAGTTACTACAGAAACCTCGTTCCAAGACAGAAACTGGGTGAGGGATTCAAGTGGTACGTACATCTTTCAACGAGCTCACACGTTCTAGCCCTCCCCATCCACCTCCACGCCTTCGCTTCACCATCTGCAAGCTGCATACAATCCCTAACGAGGATACGGGATGATGGAAAGGGAATGCAGCGAAAGCGAACAATCCAGAAACTGCTAGTAGGTATGGGATCAGTGCATCAGGAGGAATGCGAAATTCGAACTGGAATTGCTGGGCGTGTGGATGTGGAGTGGAAGATCATCTCAGAGAGCTTTGAGCAGGGAAATGCGAGGCTTGAGCCTGAAGATAGTGCCAGGGCTACGCGTTACGAAAATGGACGCGTTATTCCACGTTACATGCTTACCGTATAAACATCAGACGCATTTCCATCTTAATTCCAAACTGTACCACTTCACCAACTGAAAATCTGGGTGCCTAGCTTAACAAACATTAGTAAAACTGCTTCCAATTAGGTGACTGGTACCATTTTTGTTAAATGCGACAAATAAACAACCATATTAACAAATAAAGACCATCTAAATGTCTAGTCATGACGGAACATGGAAGGTATTGGAAAATAAGTTATGATCTCCAAGCTTGACCCAATCACCTTGCAGCAGCTAGAGCAAACCCCACACGCTCAGCCACAAAAGCAGACGCTTTGTGAACCATAGTCACTCCTTCCATAAGTGCCTGTGAAGGAAAATAAGGGAGGTTAATTTACTCAAACATCCCATAAAGAAAAATGTACAAAAAAAAAGGGGGAACTTCTATTGCCTTAATTTGTATCCTCACCTTGACTTGCAGTGCAATATCCCCAGTAAGCAGCACCACAGCACCAGGAGCCACAAACTGGTGGTAGTAGAGGCAGCAGGACAGCACCTCATCATCAGCTGAAAGCCTCTGACTGCTCCCACCACTGCCACCGCCACCACCACCACCGCTGCCACTGCTGATTCCATGCACGTGGGCCTTCTCGTGCGCGCCCTGGGCTCTGAGCCACGGAGCTCTGCTGGCCAGGGCGTCCCTCAGCAGCCGCAGGGCCCGCCGGGCATACACGCCCCTCTCCCTCTCCTTGTCCTCCTTTATTCCGTCCAGCTCTCGCACAACTGCAGGGTGGGGGTGTGTGGGCGGGTGGGTAGTGATACAGGGGAATGGCATGGAGAATAATGTGAGGCGCCTCAAACAGTGAACACTCCCCTCGCTGTCTCCTTGACCTCCTTTATGCCGCCCAGCTCACGCACCACTGGAGGGTCAGGTGGGGGGAGATGGGGGGAATGTCAGGGGATGGTGGTTACCTGCATGTTGGAGGACCAACACCACCCTCTCAGCCACACACCCTAGCAGCATCACATAATCACTCACTCATACTTACTCATACCTTCCGTACCTGCCTTCACTGACTCACCTGCATGCGGGAGCACCACCACCACCCGCTCATTGCGTGGAAATCTGTCCGCCACACTCCCCAGCAGCCCAGCCCAGTTGCTGCCAGCAGCAGCCACCGCCGCAGCAGCCTGAATCGATGCAGCCACTGCTGCAGCAGCGGCAGCAACAACAGTGGCACCAGGCGCAGCAGCAGCAGCAGCAGCGGCAGCAGCGGCAGCAGCAGCAGCAGAAGCAGAAGCAAAGGCAGAAGCAGCTGGAGCAGCAGGAGCAGGAAGAACAGGCGCAGTGACAGAACTACCAGCCAGACCTGCTCTCTGTGCCTCTGTGTGCCCGATCCCTCCTGTCTGCCCCATCCCTTGTGTGTGCCCGGCCCCTCTCTGTGTGTTTCTGAGACCCCACGCAATGAGCCTATAGAGCGCTGCCACCTCAGCCACGTCCAGGAACACGTTCGTGTCCACCACCAGGTACCACGTGGTTACCACGTGGGGGGCGCTTGTAACCGCGGGTACAGTGTGAGTGGCATGTGTGACTGCTTGCTGCTGGTACGACTGCTGCTGCTGGTGCTGCTGGTACGGATGCAGCAGCTGCTGCTGCCCCTGATCGTACACCTGCTGCGTCTGCTGTTGCTCCTGCTGGTATGCCTGCTGCTGCTGCTGGTAAGCCAACCACTTCTGATACTCCTCGCTCTGCTCGTACTGATAGTACCTCTGCTGCTCCTGCTGCTCCACGCCTTGACAGTGCTGCTGCGGCTGCTGGTGCTGCTCTTGCAACTGCTGCTGCTGCTGCTGGTGGTAAGCCAGCCATTTCCTGTACGCCTCGCTCTGCTCGTACTCCTGGTAACCGCGCCTGCCGTGTTGCTCTTGCTGCTGCTGATGATAGTGCTCGTGCTGCTGTTGATGCTGCTGGTACTGCTGTTGATATTGTTGCTGCTCCTGCCACTGACACTCTGTCTGCTTCGCCTCCAGCCCTCCCACTCCACTTGCAGGATAACTGTAAGCCTCAGCCCGCCCCTGGCTCACACTCCCGCTAGTGGCACTATCAGTACAGTCATCATCACCGGCACTCGAATACCCTGCGTTCCACAAGCAGGTCAAACCGTCAGAGCCAGAAACGCTGCTCTGACTGTAGCAGACTGCATGAGAACCGGAAACGCTGTCCTGGCTGTAGCTGTGGCAACCAGATGCATCGCTGGCAGCTGTAGCAGCACCAGCGGCGGCAGGAGCAGCAGCAGCAGCAGCTGCAGGAGTGGGATTCGAGCCAAGCTGAGATGGAAAGAACACAGCGGTCGAGTCTAGGGGAGGTGCAGCTGGGGGAGGCGGAGTGGCGGGCGGAGGGCCAGGGGGAGGCGGGGGAACCAGGGGAGCTGGGGGCGCATTCTGGCTCCCCCCAGCGGCAAAGCGTTCCCCAAAAGGTACTCCGATTGGGGGGGGAGGCGGAGGCGTCATTGGCGGAGGCCCAGGAGGAGGAGGGGGAGTTGCGCTTGCGCCAAAGGGAGTTGCGCCAAGGGGTGTTGCGCCAAGGGGTGTTGCGCCAAGGGGAGCTGGGCCCTGCGGAGGTGCTCCAGGGGGAGCAGTCTCAAGGGGGAATGGGCGGAAGTTGCTCCCCCCATAGGCGGGACGGCTGGAGAGGGGAGAAGCAGGCGGGGGGGGAGGCGGAAGGGGGGTCTCCGGAGCGGGACCAGGGGGTAGCGGAGGAAGCGGAGAGAACAAGGCGTTTTCATTGGTCAAAGGGAGCGGAGGAGGGGGGAAAGTGGGGGGGTTCGATTGGCTGTGTGGCGAAGACGTGGGAGACACTGCAGCAGTAGATGTCGTGAAAGCAGATGTAACGGCAGATGTAACGGCAGGAGCAACACCAGCACTGGCTCTACGAACTGGAACGCATTTGTTGGAACACAGCTTGCCGATTGAGCGCCCTAGCCTTGCCTCTGCTGCTGCAGCGGATGCGGCAGCTGCTGCAGCTGATGATGATGCTGCTGCTGATTGGGCTACTCGTGGTGCTGCTGAGGTGGCGCTGCTGCTGGTACAGCTTCCGCTGCCGCTGACTTGACTTCCGCCGCCGCTGACGTGGCTTCCACTTCTGCTCTTCGCAGGAGATCCCAAAATGCTAGGCGCGAAATTGTTGTGGTAACCAGGCGGGTAACCACCGTTGGACCCAGACGACTCTTCAGGCTCCGAGTCCTCGTCATCCCCGCCAAATATCTGCTCCGTTATTCGCTTCTGCATCTCCAGTGACGAAATCGCCGTGTGGCGACGGGGAGCCGTAACAGCAGCAGCACCAGCAGCAGCAGCGACCCCCATACCACCGGCACCGCTACCACCAGCACCACCAGCACCGCCGCTGCCACCACCAACAACAATGGCCCGAGCAGGTTTCTTCAATCCAAACGAAATCTTCTTCCCAAAGATTCCTCCTCGCGAACCACCGTCCAGATTTCCTTTGCCCGGAGAACCGTCCAGACATTCTGAACGGTTAGCCGGTAGCTTGCTGGCAAAACCGTCATCCTCGCCGGACGGCAAGGCGGGCGACGTTCCCGAGGCAACAGCGACATTTTCTGACACCGGGTTATTCCGTCCAATGAACGCGTGCCAGCTGGCACGTCCCGCATCTGCGTGTCCCAGCGATTGGTTCTTCACCACCGCTTTCTCGCGCTGCTTCGCGCGCGCGACTCGCGCCGCCTCGGGTAACAAAGCCTGAGACTTCGGAGCCCTTCCGCTCGACCCGGAAATAACATCCCCTGAAGTCGCCGCGTGACCCGTTGCAGTGTAAGGCGGGCGACAGGAATCCGAAGGACTTTCGTTAACAGGAGAATCAGTAGAAGGCGAAGGCGAGTTAGCTACACCTACCAGTACACTAGCCGGACTGCTGCCTTGTACATTGTCATTACTCTTTTCCGTTTCCGTACGTCCCTGCTTCTGAGATCTGCTGGGTCTCTGTGCTGCTGCTGCTGCTGGAGGGGGGGTTTGCATAGACGGAAAATCGTCGCTGTCATCTTCGTTACGCGGTAACTCGTCGCCAGGATTTTCGTCAGTCGTTTTCGACAATACCACCTCTTCCAGAGCCTTCATCAGCTCCTCCAGCTCTCGCTCGAAACGAGCTTCGCGTTCTTCCTCCTCTCTGCTCTCATTCTTAGCTTCACTAAGTTTGTTCATGATTCCGATTGGTTGCTGGCTGTCAACGCAATCCATGGCGTCACCCGCGTTACCGTTCTGCACGCGAGTTACAGTTCCTCTAAACGCGGAAAGCTATGAATCGACGCAGCAGTCAAGGAAGCTATGAATCCGAATGTGGTAACGCTCGGATTGAAAACGGTTTCCTAAAATCAGCTCACGAGTTTCTCACCGGAGCATTGTCAACGCGAGAAGGAAGTGCTAGCAACACTTCCCTCCAGACTCGACGAACATAATAAGTCAGCTCAAGGGTTTTGGGATGATGGTGCCGGTGATGCTGATGATGTAGGGAAATCTAGGGAATGCTGAAGATGGTGATGTGGAGTTAGCTGATTCAAAGAGCGAGGCAATCAAGGAATCAGAAATCAGCAATGCGCTTCGAAATGGTGTCAGGCGTTGGTGGGGGTGGGGGGAACTAATACCCATTTATATACACACGGGTGACGTCATCACATGCCGCCCCGCCCGCCCTGGCACAAAGGGAATTGAGGCAAAACGAAAAACCCGCGGAATCCCTCCGGGCCCCCAGAAATTCCCGGCTGACCAGGCCAAAAAACCCTCCGAAACCCGCGGGTTCGGCAGAACTACGGCAGAACTACGGCAGCGAGGCAAGCAAAAATCATGCCTGCTGCAGAACAACATGATGGTGAATCCATCCATCCATCATCCATGGATGACCTGGGCGGGGAAAGGAAACCATGAAGCTAGAAATGAGGGCATGTCACGCTTGTTCAATTCCCTTCAATGAAACGGTTGACAGCAGTAGTGTGCATTCTAGAGCGGTTTAATGTTTCGCCGCTCCCAAACATGATTTGAACCATGGTTTGGTGAATGGGTGGATCCGTGTCGCTTCGCCGTCAGATGGGCGACGAAGTCGTCTGCTCGCGCGACCTTGTGGCTGACACTGTTCATGATTTGCTGGATGCAGCGATGTGTCAGAGAATTTGAACATTCGCTTCCCTCCTGCTTCTTGGCGCGTACCTCAATTCCCCAGCATAAAAACAATTTCAAAAGGGATTATACTCTTCACATGTTATTACACACTGGAAAATACTTCTAAATGCCACCACCATCCACTCTCAAGCACTCTAGGGAAGGAAACAACGAGTACAGATTTATAAACAGCGTCTTCAGCCTAGCGCAATTCATGAGGTCCAGCTGATATATCGATGTGAATCTCCATATGAAACGCGGCAGACATGTTAAATCTTTTGCGCAGATCTGCAGCCTTCGGAGGTTCGGGGGGCACGACACCGTTCCGTCAATCATCCCACCATAGCTGAAAATGCCATTGAAGCGGAGGGTGTGCAGCGAAAGAAACTGCGAGAGGGAAGCGAGAGAAGCTCCCGAGTTGACGTACATGCCAATAACCAGCACTTGGAGCTTAGGCAGAACGGGAAGAGGGGAGGAGCGTGGAAGCGAGTCCAAATACAAGACCTGGAGGTTCGGACTGTGCAGAAACAGCTCATGGCGAAAGTTTCGCACAAGAGACCCCATCAGGTGCTTTCCACGCCACGTTCGCACATCCCTCACCTCCAGAAGCATCAAGTCAGGAAAGAAGCAGGAGCAGCTGTCATTCCCAAGAGCAGAACCACTCCTGGCACTTATGTAAACACCAGAGAGCTTAAGCACCCTCAGGCTGGCCGATGCGAGGGAAGGAAGGTCCAGGCGGACGGCTTGGGGGAGGAAGGAGGGAGCGACAGCTGGCGAGGGGGTTACAGAGAGGACTGTGAGGGAGGAAGGTAGAGAGGCGCCGCTTCTCATCGCTGCTACTAGCAAGTCCCCATCTACCTCCAACTCGGCGATCTGCCTCCCCTCACCCGCCCCTCCACTCGCCTCCTCAGCTGCTGCGGGGGCAGCATTGGCAGCAGGAGCAGCAGGCAAAGCAGGATTAGCAGCAGGAACAGCAGGATGGGAAGGATCAGCAGCAGGGCCAATGAGGTGGTGTGCTGTCAGCACTGCCACTGTGCCTCGAGACATGCGCAGCTGCTCCAGCTGCTGGTTTCCACTCGCCTGCTCGCCTCCCTGCCGGCCCCACTGCTGCTGCTGCTGCTGCTGCTCGTTCCCACCAACCCTTTGCTGTTCCTCCTGCGGCTGATGCTGCTGCTGTTCCTCTACCCCATCCCTTCCTACCACATCCCTTGCTACCCCATCCCTTCCTACCCCATCCCTTGCTGTTGTCTCCAGGTGGTTTCCACCAAGAGCCGCCATCATCAGTCCGGGCACCGGGTGACCCAGCAGCTGCAGACAGGACAAATGCCGCAACCCAGCCACGCCTGCCACGTAAGCATTCCTCTGCACGCCCGGGTGAAAGGCCGGGTTGCGAATGGAAAGAGAGCGAAGAGCAGCTAGTTCCCATATCGAAAGTGGCAGGTGTGCCATAAACGGGAGGGTGAGAGAGAGGGAGGTGAGAGTGTCTTGAAGCCCGGTAAACATGTTTTCGTAGAGCCTGGGTACTGGGTAGGCTTTCGACCAATCAGGACCCAGCTGTAGCTCCAGATGTGACAGTAACGAGAGGTGACTGAATGGGGTGGTGGAGCAGGTGACGGTGCAAGAAGGATCTGACACGTGGAGGGTGAGGGATTTGAGAGACGGGACGGAGGGGAGGAGGGAGGGAGGGATGGTTTTTAATGAGAGTGAGAGGTGGGTGAGGCGGGATAAGAGAGGGATGATGGTTAGAGGGAGGTGAATGGTGGTTGGGGAGTCGTTGTGGGAAGGCGGGAGGTCGAGGGATGGAGCAAAGTGTAGACAGGGGAAGGAGGAGGAGGAGGAGGAGGAGGAGGAGGAGGAGGAGGAGGAGGAGGAGGAGGAGGAGGAGGAGGAGGAGGAGGAGGAGGAGGAAGAGGAGGAAGAGGGGGAGGAGTTGGAGGTGAGGAGGTGGAGGGAAGTGAGGTGTGAGCATCGTTGGAGCAATTGCATGAGACCGTGAACTAAATCTGGATGGGATTCTGGGTTTTGGCTGTTGCCAGTACTTTCTGAATCCCCAATGTTGTCAGTCGGGTTTTGATCGTCCTCGGCAGCGGCATTGAAGATTCGGTCTCTGCGATTGGAGGGGAGAGTGACTATATCAGGAGGTTGGGAATGTGTGCCTGTGACCTGTAACGGGTGCCATCGGCTCTTTCTGTCGCCTTCCACCTGCCGACCGAACTCGATGTGACAATGGCGAAGGGACGGGCAGCAGCGGGCAACAAGGTGGCAGATGGCATCGATATAGTCACATCCGGCGTAAGTGCCCTCCCCCAAGGAGGGGCCAGCGCCGAGATGTGACAGAAACGGGAGGTGGAGGGATGTGAGCTCTGGGAAGCTTCGCAGCAATGAGGCAACACGGTTCAGAGGCCAATATCTGGTACTCGGGGGTGTATCGAGACGAAGCACGTCTTGTAACGAGGATAAAGCCAAGGAGCGTGAAGCTAACGAGTCGAATCTGCCGCCAGAAGCTTCCAGGGAAGGCAGAGAAGCTGATGCTTCGTTATAAGCATCCGCAGCTGGTTCGAACGATGAAAGCGACGTTTGAAGCTCATCCAAGCAACGGCGCGCGTCCCGACCATCCCTATACGAATCGAATCCTCCCTCTGCCGCAGCGGAACCGGTGAAATCCAGCCGCTGATTCATTGAATCTGGACGAGCATTTCGGAACTGGCGGAAAGGCAGCCGCAGCAGCGACTGCGAAATGGCAGAGGATTCGCGCGATGCAGCAGACGACTGCGTCAATAGAGACTGTCTGAGCAATGGCTCCCACTCCAGCGAAAGCGGGTTCAGCGCGAGTGACACGTGGCAGGCTGACGGGCGAACGACGTCCCTGTAGCAGCGCCACCACGAGCGACACGTGGCGCCTGCTCGTGCCACGTGGGCGGCGTTCGTTAGAAGGCAGAGCATTCGCGCGATGCAGTCGCTGGGAAGGGCCTGAGCGCCGGACGCTTGCTCAAGTTGAGTAGCACTCGCCGCAGCCGGTGATGTCTCCGCAGGTGTGTTTTGAGTCGACTCCGAGTCGCAGTGCGGCGTGCTGCAGTCCCTCGGCGGAAGGGCCTGAACGCCGGACGCTTGCTGAACTTGAGTACTAGCAGCCGCCGCCGCCGCCGCCGGGGATCTCTCCGCAGGTGTGTTTTGAGGCGACTCACAGCGCGCGGCGCCGCAGTCGGTCGGAATGGCCTGAGCGCCGGTCGCGGGGGCCTGAAAAGCAGTCACAGCCGGCGATTGCTCTTTCCGCATCCCGGCGTGAGGTCGAAGCGGCGGTTGCTCTTCCTCCATTATACCGTCAGGGTTTGTTGACAGTGGCGGTCGCTCTCCTTCCATTATACCGTTAGGGCTTGCCAGGAGCAGAGAAGGTTGCACCGATGATGAAAACGAGGTTTCAGTCGCAGCCATCCCTCTGCGTGCCGTAGAAGAACCAACCTACAAAAGTCGAAGCAGAGGTGATAGCGGTGATAGTGGTGGCGACACCTATCACCGTAGAAGAACCGCTAGTGCTACTCAGTGATAGCGGTGGCGCACTAGCGGTGGCGCTGAGTGACCAAGCTCACATGGCCATGGTTAGTAAGCTCCGCGCTTCTGATACGCACACATTCGAAGGTGGTCGTCACAAATCTAGGAATGCCGCGTTGAATACAGAGATCGAGTGACGATGCGTTTTTTTAGCTCGCGGAAGCTACTATCTCCTTCAGAATGGCATTCTTGGAAAACAGATGATTCAGGGAAAAGGACGGCAGGACGAGGAGAAAATGAGGGAGAGAACGAGGGGCAGAATGACGGAGAGAAGGACGCTATGGGCCCTGCTCGACAGGCAACCAAGCCCTTCCGCGGAACTATCGGGGCTGTTTCGATTTTTTGTTTTTTTTTTCCTGGTCAGCCCCCAAATGGATGCCAAACCTGGCAAACCCTCCCGAACCAGACTAAGGGTACATACCTACCTCGTGTCAGACACGAAGTGGAGGTTTGGATGGAGGTTCGGAAGACCCGAAGTGGCCAACTTCGGGTCTTCCGAACATTGATTTGCCAGAGTTCCAAACCACTTCGGGTCTTCCGCAACTTCACTTCGTGTCTGACCTCATGTCAGACACGAGCCAAGAATGCACCCTAACCCTCCGTTGCCTGTCGAACGCGCCATCTACGAGAAGTGTTAGGGCAGTTAACTTTTTCTCTTTCTGACCGTCCGGACGGCTCACCGTCCGGACTTTTTTAGGGTTACCCTTTTCGACGTTATCCGTCCACGAATCAGAGACAAAGCGACAATCGACGAAATTAGTAACCCTACAAAAGTCCGGACGACGGGCCGTCCGGACGGTCGGAAATGGAAAAAGTTACACGCCCTAAGGGACCCCCGAAAGATCCAACTTTCTTCGCACACTGGCAAGCGTAGAGCCCACCTCCAGCCCAACCCTCGCCATGCCAAACTGGAGGTTGGCCAAGAGATGGGCTACGGCTTGCCCTTGCAGGGGATACCCAAATCTTACTCCCGCAAATGTTCCCCATCCCTGCTCATGCTCTAAACTTCCAGTACTGCCCTAAAAACGACCCCTCCCTCGCATGGACTTTGGGTACATTCTTGGCTCGTGTCTGACATGAGGTCAGACACGAAGTGAAGTTGAGGAAGACCCGAAGTGACCTGTTTCTCTGGCAAATCAATGTTCCGAACCTCGATCCAAACCTCCACTTCGTGTCTTACACGAGGTAGGAATGCACCCTTTGTTGGTTGGTTTTTGTTTCCAGTAAATTGTTACCCTGGTTCCCATGGCATGCGTTCGAAAGTTTTGAATCGTGCCCACGGACAGGAGGAACCCAGCAGCGCCCTCACGACCCCCTCCTTCCGATCTGGGGAGGCGCTGCTTCCGATTTGGTCGGGCGGGGGCTAACCCAGTGGAAGTTGCTCCGAACCCAAGCACTAGCCCAACCCTAGCCTGTCAAACATTGTATATGTTTGTGTTCTGTAGGCTGTAGTGGGTTTAGCCTTAGGGGGTACAACTTCTAGGGTTTCATACTTGTACTCCCAACTTTCTTAGTTCAATCACTTCTTCTCAATTCTAACATGGTATTACGAGCCTAGGTTAGGAACCTAGGACCGTTCCTAAGGGCCCACCGTTTCCGCTCGAAGCGCCCTCGTGCGCCGTCTCTTCCTAGCGCCCTCGTGTGCCTCGCTCCTAGTGCGCCCTCGCGCGCCCTCCTTTTCTCCTGAGCTGCCCGTGCGCAGCCGATAGCAGCCCGCGCGCACGGCCCGTTTTTAGGTCGCGTAGCCCGCTAGCCGCCCGCGCGCGGCCCGTTTCTTGAGCGCGCGGCCCACTAGCCGCTCGCGCCGTCGTCGCCGCCCACGTGCAGCCCGCTCTGGCCTCGCGCGGCTCTTAGCGCGGCCCGCTAGCCGCTCGTCGACCGCCGCGCGTCGCCGCCGCGCCCCCTTAGGCCGCCGCCCGTGCTAGCCCGCCGCCTGCACGATAGCCGCCGCCCGCACGAACGCAGCAGCGGCCCGCGCGCAGCCGCACCCTAGGCGCCGCCGCGCACCGTTACTAGGCCCGCCGTCGCGCCGCCCTACCTGCCCGAGCCGCGCCGCCCGAGTCGCGCCGCCCTAACCGAGCCGCGCCGCCCTACCTGCAGCAACTGCTGTTCCTGTTCCTGCTACAACTACAACTACTGCTACTGCTACTGCTACTGCTGCTGCTACTCCTACTACTGTTCGTACTGCTCCTACTGAAACTATGGCTAGTCCTGCAGTGCTAGCTTTCGATGCTGAGGGCCGCCCGCTGCGTTTTGACACCTGGCTCGAGGACCTCCATCTGTTCCTCCAGCTCACTGCTAAGGAGGATATTTCACTGTATGACCATGCGTTAGGCCTCGCTCCTGCCCCTGCTGCGACTGCTGACAGTACTGCCCGCTCACAGTGGCAGACTTGTGACGCCCACTCTCGCTTCGCCATTCGCAACTCCCTGCCGGTAGATGAACGCGAGCACTTTAGCTAGCAGAAGACTGCTCAGTCACTGTACACTGCTGTAGTTGCGCGTTACTCCTCGCCTGCCTCTGCTTCGCTAGGCCGCCTCTCACTGCCCTATCTGTTCCCAGACCTGTCCACCTTCTCTACCGTCGCTGACCTCATTACTCACCTCCGCACTAGTGAGATCCGCTTCCGTACTGCTATGCCCGCTGAGTTTCTTGCCAAGAACCCCCCCCCGCTGTGGCTCACTCCTTACCACCTGGTCACCCGTCTCCCTGACTCCCTTCGTGCGGTCAGGGACACCTTCCTTGCTCTCTGCCCCACCGAGCTCACCATTGACCTGCTTGAGAAGCACATGCTGGCAGTTGAGACTAGCATAGTCGCTGTCGGTGCGTCTCGCGGCGACCCCCGCACCCCTTTCTTCGAGGGGTGTTCCCCCTCCCCTCTCCTCCCCTCTGTCGCCTCTGCTGCTGCTGTCGACCTTCTTGGTGCTGAGAAGGTCGGGACTGCGTCCACTGCGAGTACGGGACGCCGCAGCGGCAAGGGCAAAGGGGGCAAGGGGGGCGGCGGTGATGATGGGGGAGGCGGTGGTGGGGGCGGTGGCGGCGGTGGGGGTGGTGGCGGGGCTGGAGGGGCCAGTGGCAGCGGCGGGGGTGGTGGCGGCAGCGGCGGGGGTGGTGGCGGCAGCGGCGGGGGTGGTGGCGGCAGCGGCGGGGGTGGTGGCGGCAGTGGTGGAGGAGGTGGCCGGGGTTGGGGCGGTGGTGGTGGCGGCAGTGGACGCGGTGGCGGTGGTGGCGGTGGTGGTCGTGGTGGCGGCGGCGGCGGTGGAGCTCGTGGAGGCTCTGGCGGTGGCCAGCGCCAGCAGCATACCCTGTCGCCCCAGGAGCTTCGTGAGTGGTACTCTCAGCGTGGGGGGGGTGGCCTTAGCTGCCCGTACGTCATCCGCACAGGTGACCGCACTGGTCAGACGTGTGGGAGGGCGCACACCCAGCAGCGCTGCTTCTCTCGCCTCGACGACGCCTGGCGCACTCAGTTTCCTGCTGCTACTGAGCTGCCCCGCTGGTTTGATCGGATCAAGAAGAACATTGATGTCTATGCTCTTGACTTTGATGCTATCCTTGGTGCCATGTATGTGTTGTCTGCTAGTGGAGAGGGTGACTGTTACCTGCGTGTCCCGCCCGACCCG